AGCTTCTTATGTTCAGCTTTTGACGGGCATTTTGCGTAGTATGCTTGTATTTTGTCCAACAGCATCTTTCTGCTCTGTATGTATACATGTCAGAAGTATAATGGTATTGTGTGCTTACCTGATTCGTGTCTTGACAAGATAGTTTGTTTACTACGTACGGATCTGAGCGAGCTTCCATTCTGTTAATCGAAGCACTTAAAACGTCACGCGGCCTCCTCGTCGGGCGTCATCTTTCTAACGGATCCCATACGAACATATTTCCGCTTGAGAAAGGTTCTGATACAGCTCCGCTGTGCTCTTCCACTGTTCTCGGCGTGTATTGTGATACACACTTTGGGTGATCTAACAGGCTTTACTAAGAATCCCACCACGTCCGACCACAGAGTACACCGCCAGTGAGACGTGTCTAGATGGAGCGCTGTCGCTCCGCGGCACTAGAATGTCTTTATTGATCTTCCAAGTGCCTGTGCATTTACGCTCCGACCAGCGATCGCTTTCATTTTTGTCCGTATTTGCTAGTGAACAGCAGACCTATATGTCATGGCGGATTCGCATTGTTTCACTTAGATTATATGAAGAGAATAAAATATTGGCTAATGTGGTAAATGATGCTGGGTCACTCGATGATTTATTAATGATAGTAATTAAAAGTTGCTAATGAATTTTATTTCATAACATTACCTCTTAAACACTGTCGTGAAGTCACAGATGAGATAAAATTGAAATTAAAATAATTAACAATTAAAAAAAATTTTTAAAATTAATTTAGAGGCGGTTCGGACATTCGCAGACAACCATCGGGAAGCAATTGTAAGCGTTGCCGAGAGAAATGGTCCTAGTCAGCGGTCAGCGGACGACCGGACGACGTGTTAAAATTGAGCTCTGTTTCATGGACCCTTGTGCTTTGCTTAACACTACAAAATGTTGTAGTTCTATTTAGAGACTCCCACCTTTTCCTCCAATATAGTACGACTAGGCTCGTTGCCAGCTACCTTATCACCAAATAAGGGACAGTTTTACACCTTTTATTCGTATACTTTCTTACCTGTCCGCATAGGTTATACTACCATTTATTTCGCCCCCTATATCTTCTCACTTTTTCGTAAGCTGGTGAGTGCTAATTTACAGTTACACATCCAGCTCATATCCGGATTATAGTGCTCGATCCGACAGTCTCTTAGTGCAGTGCCTCAGTCTCCATGACTATTTGTACCAAGAAAAGGAGTGAATAGCGCCCCACATCAGCAACTATATACTTGTTATACAACGTAATCAACACATGCACTCTTAATAATTGAAATTGGATCTTCTAGATGGGGATGACTGGTAGAAGCACACCTGACCAAAACTGACATTGCCAAAGCACTGCATTTGGCACGTGCAATTCTGTTACGCACCATAGTGCATCTCTACAGTGCATTTCGCTAGGTATTCTAGTCCTATGTAAGATGCATGCCAAGTCGGAGCACCCACGCGACCTCGGCTTGCATTGACAGTCGTGTAGCAAAATCCACCCTAACAGTACTGCATTTGCAGCAACGGCTGTTACTGTGGGCTGGGGCCAAAAATTTCCTCTTTTTTAATGTTTAACTGATCCTATTAGAACTCATTCATGGTCTGTAAACAGGCTAAAATAGAAATGTGTATTGTCAGTACACCACACATTATGTTACTAGAGAGCGAAATGCGAAGTAGTGGTACGAGTTGGGGCTACAATGCACTGCCTGTCACGGCCACACTAGAAATTACTACATTAAAACTGGAATTGACGGTCTTGCGATGCCCGCGATGACACACTTATTAAAATATCACATCGGGTGTGAGTGATTTTTTTCTTCCTTTTTAATGTTTGCCACTACGACTCATAGATCGCCGCAATTATCTGCGATGGGGAAGCGAGCTAGAAATAAATTTACTACGTGCATAAATACACGTCAAATCTTTCCTGTGCTTTCTTGTAAACTAAATGGAGCGAGTCAACCAAAGAGCGATGGAACAGGCGGGTGTGAGTCATTGATTCAGATATTACAAATTCTTCAATAAAAGACAATTTCGAATCTTCTATGAAATAAAATTTAATTTATAAATCTAATACAATACTAACTAGCTAGTCTAGCATTAAGCAATCATCTTTGATGATCGGAAGATAAGGTGGTATTCAGAACGATTGCCCTGCTACAATATATATTCTTTCTTTCCTCAATACCACACACTTCGACGCTACCACTCTTTTCGCGCCTGTTATCATGGGGACACAGGCAAACGCTTCCCCGCCGTCGTTCCTACTGACATGCCTCATTCACTGATTCTTCGCGTCTGCGGCCATGCATCAACAAAAGATCAAGGATAGACTTCTCACCGGTACACCGATATCATCTGTTTGCCTCTACACCCTTCCCCTACTTTATTGCCTCCATGGGCCACCTGCTTGTTTCCTGATGTCGCCTTACTCAGTGCTGCCACTTCTTATACCCTTTTTTTCGAACGACAAACCTAATCCACCCTTCTCACCCTCCTATCACCTCCTCTCTCCCCCACTATCTTTTATTCATTCGCATTAAATACTTTTATAAATACTTTTTTTGCCAAAGTTTTATGGTCAACTCTTCGCGACTTACATTGAGGTACACCGGGTATATTGATGGAGATTATAAGCGATTGTGTTGTTGGCTAGTAAGCTAGCTTGTATAGTTGTGGTTACACGCTGGAGATGATCGTGTGCTTCTGTTATTAGTGGGGAGGTGTTTTTCGCTACTCAGCTCTACTGCTGTCAGCTCGACCATAATGACAGTCTTCTGGCAGTATGACGACTTTGAGCGAAGGTCGGGGGCACGCCTGTCGCTCAATATTCTCAGCCGGCATCACCAGACAATTTGCTTCATAACACACCCCCTCGCTGAATACGCGCAAACTTTTCGTATCAACTGAAAAAGGATTCAAGAGTCTTCATACAATGTGTGCCAGATGGTTAGAAATTGCACCCAAATTGCACAGTTTTGTCCAAAATTTTTTCTGGACCCCCTTAGGCTGGCTGCCAGGCCACCATGCACTGCTCCACTGTGCGTAGGACTCCTCGCAACGCACAAACACATTCACACACAGAGTATTTACCGGCCTTACAAGACCGTGTTCTGGCCAAGCGGAACACTGCATTGAATATTTCCAACACGTGGAAGATGTTTCATGAGGACAACTTTCCATCATCTGATCATTTGCATACATCATTCCCTGAGGCTTGTTTTTACTGCTGTCATCATAGCTACAGATACGTACATTCGGTAATAAGCGGCGTGTAAGGTAGGATCATAGTGTCAAGTACAAAATCATGGTAGGTTGATACGAATCTTTATACTTTTTTTTAGGCAATTTCGATACTTGTTTTCTGGACAGATTTTGTATTAACTTTTCTTGTATGGTCCTGAAGTGGCAGCACTGGCTTATGGTCGCCGATGCTGGTAGCGCCTGCTTCAGTTTGTGCCTTATGTATTAACTAGGTGGCGGCTGGCAAGGAATATGTCACGGAGCAAGGTCCGCAGCACACACTCTAAGGATGATTTTTCGCGTATCTGGAGAGTATGACGCGCCCATCGAGCCCGGTGGCCTAAATGTAGAGGCCCTGTGACGTTAAGATATGTGAGAAGGTGCTACGTGCTATCACTGATTCCTCTCCAGTTTTTCTTTATCGATCTGCTGGCGTCTGCGTTCTTGTCTTATTCCTTGTTAGAACTTGTATGGCATTACCATGGCTTCGTTACCTATATTTCAATTCTGACTCAATTAGGGTTTTCGTAATTGGCAAGCTAGTTGATCGCTCCAACATACTTGAAGCTAACTGATTCGATTATCTAATCATTGTTAAATACCTGTCTTATTCCAAGAATTCATTGATTATTTTTTTTACAAATGGCCAATGTACTAAAAGTTGACATCACAGTTATTGTACTATTAGGGGGGATTTATTATTACTTGATGGCTCTCCAGCATGCTTACAGCAGGCAATGCTATAGGCGCTTTCACACTTCAGGTCAGACCGAAAGAACATAGCGATCGGCAAACTTCGGTTTAAAGAGCTGATGCATCACGGGATGCCTAAGAAATAGCACGTGGATGTGGCGCGTATCCTTCACCGACCAATCGGAGGGCTCGCAGCGCTCTGCTAAAGCTGACCGAAGTTTGCAGATCGCTATGCACATTGGGAAAGCCAGCATCACAGGTCACCAGAAATGGCGCTCGAAATATCGCCGCTCGTCGCTTCGAAATTTTGTAACAGGTCATATTAGTTTAATACAGAGTATTGTGATACATAATAAGTCCCAGGATAGCGGAGAAAGGTTCGTGTTTAGAATAAACCCAGTTTGGAAGTTCTAGTCTCGAAAAACGCACCATAAAACCGCCCTGAGTGAATCACTCGGGGGCTCCTCCAAAGAAAAGAATAGGCTCGCGTTGTAACCCCACTCTTGTGTTGGGTTACATTATTGTATCTAGCACGCCCCGTGCACAAACAACATGAATAAGAGAGCAGGTAGGAAAGCGTGATTACAAAATTCGCTCGACTCTCGCTTCATTTCACACGATCACAGAACAAACACATAACCAACAGCCTCCATCTTAGTATCTATGTGTAGCTAAATGTTCACCTGTTTGAATTATAACTCTGTCTTTTCTTCTTATACCTACTGCCGCCAGAGATATTTCGTGAATCCTGCAGGAAATGTTCTCTTCGTGAAAATGTAAACGGGACGTATCATCCGAAAATCCCTAACGGCGCTTCTCGATCTTTCGTCCAATCACTGTAGTCGTGTGTGTGACGTCATGCCCGCGCGCATTATGCTTGGCTTGGCGGGCCTCGAAACGGAGCTCGGAGGCAGGGAGCAGCTCATCCCGGCATGCAATGCGCCCCATTACTCGTGTATAAACAGACCTCTCGTCCCGTTTACATTTTCACGGAGAGAGCATTTCCTGCAGGATTTCACGAGATATCTCTGGCGGGAGTATATTTATACAAAGGACAGAGTTATAGTTTTGGAACAGTGAACAGTTAGCTACACATAGATAGCGAAGTATTGGAGGCTGTTTGTTTGTTGTATTTGTGGGGCTGTGAAGGTGTGAATATGAGGCGAGCGTCGAGCAAATTTTGGATCGACGTACGCTTTCCTACTGCTCTCTTATTTGATTCACGGTTGTTTGTGCCAGGGGTGCGTGCGGTGTAACTTGGTGTGTTTGCAGATGGGCGTTTGAGCTCAGCCTTTACATAGGGGATTATCTTTGCAATAATAGGCGAAATAGAGTAGTGAAAGAAAACTTAAGAATTTGGTAGTAAATACAGTTTCGTGTTTATTTACTTCTTTTTGTAGGCGTCATCTGACATGTCAGATGCGCTGTAGAATCGGGCATGAGGTGCGTGGGCGTGAATCGTCTGTCGTGCGTGGCAACCAGTCTGGGGATAAAATGCTTTAACCGGCTTGACGTACGGTCAGAGATATTCGGGACGTCGGTGGGGATCGTCAAAACGAGTTGGGATGTGAAAGCTGGGGGTCAAGGTCAAGCGGTGTAGAATGAAGGGGGGAAGCATTCCTTCTTAACTTAAAGGTAAGCGAGGAAATGGCAGGAATTGCGGCACAAATTGAAAACAGCTCGACTAGGCTTCCGTGATAGTCGGTGTACAGCATAATGGTAGGAAAAGGCATCACTGTGCGCGAAATTGGAGTCACAGGTGCAAAGTCAATGGCGCTAAGGCTAGATTTTTGAACATTTTCTTGAGGACATGGTCTGATGGAGGCGAGTGGAAAACTTTTTTGTTTCAGCGGTGACTAGCATTTTTTTAATGGCATTTAATTGAAAAGACATGAAATGTATATTTTGCTGACATGCGGAGAGTGAAAATGTCGGATTAATCTTTTGACGCCTCAGAGGCTGGGTTAAAATGGATTTCTCTTTTTTACTGATTAGAAAATTTGACTAGGCCGGGTTTGCTAGTAGAATCTATGAAATGCGTGGATGTATGAGGCTAAATGTACAGTGAAATTTAAAAGCTAATTATTTGGTTTGAAGAAGGTTTGTGCTCCTTTAAATTCGTATAATTTCTATGGCATTCTGTAATTCGAAGTGTGTTACATGACATATGCAGCTGCAGTGGCCAAGTCGCAGTGTGTGGTGGTACTAGTGTAGTTTTTGGCCTGCGTTAATCTAGTAAAGGTGGCAGCTTCTATTTCAGGCTTTCGGCTTGCGTAGGTAAATGGATGGTGGCTTACCTATTCTGTCTTGCAAAATAGTTCGTTTAGTACTAGTAGGACTGGAGCTTTCGGCATTTTTAATGCTGAAGACCACTTAAAGCTACGCCATCTGGCGTGGCAAGCTTTGCATAAGATCCAACGAACATATTCCTATTGAGAAACGGTTCCTGATACGCATCCCTGTCTTCCACTGTTCGGCGTGTATGTGAAAATTTGGGACTAACAGGGGTTTACTCTTTCGAATGCCACCACTCCACGCACAGAGTCAGACGGAGTAGCGTTAGATGAGGCTGTCGGCTCCGCGGCACTTTTGTTTTAATTGATATTTCCAAGTGCCTGTGGCATACGCCGACGCACACGCCATGTTCATTTTTGTACGTATTGCAGTAACAGAGAATATGGCATTTGCGCATTGTTTAGCTGATTGATATGAAGAGAATGGAAAGTATTTGGTAAGTGTGGTAATGATGCTGGGATCATGAGATGTATTAATAATAGTATTAAAAGTGGCATGAAATTTATATTATAAGCATTTACATTAACAATGTGTCAAGTCAGCAGATGAGTAAATTGAAAATTTAAAAAGTTAAAAATTAAAAAAATTTTAAAATTAATTGTAGAGATTGGACATCGGACAACGCACGGAAGCAATTTGTAGTTGCCGAGAGAAATCCAGTGTCACGACGGACCGGACGGACTGTTTAAAATTGAGCACTGTTTCTGGACCCTTGTGCTTTGCTAAAACACAAATGTTGTAGTCATTTGAGACTCCCACTTTCTCAATCCTAGCTAAGACTGGTTCCCAGTATCACCAAATAAGACAGTTTTACACCATTTTATTTCGTATATATATTACTAGGTTTACACCATTTTATTTCGTATATATATTACTTTTCGTGGTGAGTGCTAATTACAGTTACACATCCAGTCACCATCCGGATATAGGCGATCGAGTCAGTGCAGTGCAGCATGCATTTGTAAAGAAAAGGTTGAATAACCAATCAAACTATATACTTGTTATACAACGTAATAAACACATGCACTCTTAATAATTGAAATTGAGATCATTCTAGATGGGGATGACTGGTAGAAAGCACACCATGACCAAAACTTGAATTGCAAAGCACTGCATTTGGCACGTGCAATTACTGTTTACGAAAGTGATTATACAGGCATTGTAGGTATCTATCCTATGTAAGTGCATGCCAAGTCGGGCACCCAGCCACTCAGCTTGCATGACAGCGTAGCAAACCTACAGTACCATGCAGCAGCTGTACTGTGGGTGGGGCAAAAATTCCATGTACTGATCCTATTAGAACTCATTCATGGTTGTAACCAGGCTAAAAATAGAAATGGTTGTCCATACACCACAATACTCTGAGAGTAATGACGAGTTGGGCTACATGCACTGCTGCACGCCACACCTAGAAATTTTATACATTAAAAACTGGAATTGACGGTTGCATGAACACTATAAAAATCACATCGTGTGAGTTGATTTTTTTTCTTTTACATGTTTGCCACTACGACAGTCGCCGCATTTTGATGGGAAGGTATGAAATAAATTTTACTACGTACATAAATACGTCAAATCTTTCCTGTGCTTTCTTGTAAAACTATAATGAGCGTCACCAAAGCGTAACGCACATGATCAGATATTACAATTTCAATAAAGACAATTTAATCTTCATGAATAAAAATTATTTATAAAATCTAATACAATACTACTAGCTGTCAATTAACAAAAATGTTGTATAGTATTAAAACATGCCCTGCTAAATATATATTCTTCTTTCCTCAGATACCAAACTGGTACCACTTTGGCTGTTTCTGGGAAAGAGCAAAAGTTGGTGTTCATACTGACATTGCTCATTATGATTCCTTGCGTTGGGATGATCAACAAAAGATCAAGGATAAGATTTCAGGTAACGTATTGTTTTGTTAAACCTTCCCTATTTAATTGCTCATGGGCAACTGCTTGTTCTGTGTGCTTATCAGTGCTGCCACTTTATACTTTTTTTTAAGAAAATATACTTTTTATACTTTTTCCATACTTTTTTCATGCATAAATACTTTTAAATACTTTTTTTTGCCAAAGATGGTCAAAACTCTTCGGACTTACATTGAGGTACACGGTATTTGATGAGATTAAAGATGTGTTTTGCTAGTAGCTAGCTTGTTAGTGTTACAGGAGTGATGTGTGCTCTGTTTAGTGGAGTGTTTTTGCTCTCAGCTCTCTGCTGTCAGTGACCAAATGACAGCTCTGCATTGACACGAGCGAGGGGGGCCGCCTCGCTCAAATTCTCAGCCGCCACACAGAAATTTGTTCAAAACACCGCCTCGCTGACGAAACTTTTGATAACTTGAAAAAGAGATTCAAGAGTCTCATACAATGTGTCCAGAATAGCTTAGAATGCACCAAATTGCACAATTTTTCCAAAATTTTTTCCTGGACCCCCCTAGCTGGTGGCCAGGCACATGCACTGCTCACTGTGCTAGGACCTCGCAACGCACAAACACATCACACACAAATTTACCGCCTTACAGACCGTTCTGGCCAAGGGAAACACTGCATTGAAATATTCCAAACTGAGAGTTCAAGAGACAACTCCACATGACATTGCACACATCATTCCTGAAGCTTGTTTACATGCTGCACATAAGCTATAATATATTCGGTAATAAGGTATAAGGTAGATCATAGTATAAGGTACAAATCATGGTAGGTTGATACAAATTTATACTTTTTTTACACTTTTTTTAGGCAATTTCGATACTTTTTTCTGGACAGATTTTATACTTTTTTGTAATATCCTGAGTGGCAGCACTGGCTTATGGTCGTGTAGCGGACTGCTTCAGTTTGCATTGTATTACTAGGTGGCGGTGAAGGAAATGAGGAGCAGGCAGCAGCAACACCAAAGGATGATTTTTCCGTGGAGTATGCCGCATCGAGCCGGGCTAAATGTAGAGGCTGTGACGATAAGATTGAGAAGGCACGTGTATCACTGTTCTCTATTTTCTTTATCTTCTCTGGTCTCGTTTTGTATTATCCTGTTAGACTTGCTAATAGCATACTGGCTTTATTACCTATATCTCATTCTGACTATCATGGTATTCGTAATGGCAAATGATCTCCAACCATACTTGAAGTAACTGATTCGATTTCTAACCATGTTAATACCTGTCTTTTCAAGAATTCATTGATTCAAATGCCAATGTACTAAAAGTTGACACACAGTTATGTAATGAGGGGGGGATTTATAATACTGTGGCTCCAGCATGTTACAGCAGGCAATGTCTATAGCCGCGTTCACACGTAGCAAGAAATTCGGTATTTAACGTTGACACGAGGCAAAATGCACGGTCCAAGAAATACGGAATTTAAATAGATTCGGTTGAATTACGCGGCTTCCCAGATGCCGAATTATTTGCCGTGCTTGAGAAATTCCGAATCTCTTGGACCGCGTATTTCTCTCGTGTGAACGCTAAATACCGTATTTCTGAAGCCGCGTATTTTATAGACTGGTCCGCGCTCGACAGTACCAGTGTAACGCGAGTGGAACTGTTGAGCGCGGATCAGTCTACGTATTTTATCAGCAGTTGGTGCGCATTGCATTGTTTATTTCCCATTGTTCGCTTGGACGCATTTTTTTTTTTTCAATGTACTAAAGCAGCTCGCAGCTTGCAAATACGGCATTTTCGCTCTCTCGCATTCTCGCAAATCGCTCGGTCCCGTATTTGTCTCAGATTCGGTATCTCGCAAATACCGAATATCATAAATAGGGAGTCTCGTGTGAAAAGCAGCTTATATGTAATTTGATCTGCAATGAAATGTCTAGTCGAGATATATTTGTGCCACAATACTATAGCCCCCCCCCCATGTGTTAAGTGTAACACCAGTATCACTTATGTCACACGTGATACAGTTATAAAACCATTGCAATATGCAATGTATAATCCATTTTGGCCAAAATGTACAACTATAAGTATAACCATTCATGGATCTGAATACAGTAATCGTGCAGACGTGTGGTGTGCTTGACTTTTGGAAAACGTTGCTTTATTTTAAAATTATACCACCTAATAATTACTAAATTAGACAGTGATTATGGCGTTGACAAATTGGTATTCTTCTTTTATCACATGAAAACATGCATGGTGCCTCTGGCTATAATTTTGACTAATTGGCAATGGTAGTGAGATGACGGTTAAGTTAACTTTGGCATATCGTGGTAAAGCTGTATAGAGAATCCTATCATGGACATTATATTGAGATTAATTGTTGCACCACTAATGGAAAGGGTAGGAAAATCACTGTGGTTGTTATGGTTTGAAGGAAAGGTTGGCAGTCATGCACCTCTGTGATTTTGGTGTGTTTATTGATTCCGTAATAATTTTCTAGTGTCATGCTATTGCTTACATTTTCAGGGTGTGGTAAGAATCTCAAGAAAGGAGATAGGGTTCCGTGGACAGCCTCAGGATAAGTGGTATCATGTCACCTGTTTTGCGGATGAAGCTGGAAACTTAGGTTTCACTTATTTAGCTGATGAGTAAGTACTCTATATTGGAGCTTATCGATGTTATGATAGGATGAGGTGTTCTCTAGTGATGGAGTAATTAATATACAAAGTCAACTATCTTGTGCAACCATTAAAATTCTTTACTATGAATATCTGCTCTATTCTGGTAAAGCGGGAGGTACCATGTGTTTTTATGTTGTTGCATGCATGTGTTTGTGCGTGCGTGCGTGCGTGCGTGCGTGCGTGCGTGCGTGCATGTGTGTGGAATCAAGATATAATCGATTCAGGTTAATTGTTCCCTGAATGGTCTCTAACATTTCTGTTGACAAGTGATTCAAATTATGTACATGGTTCATACATTGTTTGCTAACAGTCAAGCCGTTAATGTTGTGAATATGCTGCACTGGTATTTTTCTATCATTCTAATTTCGGACATTTGTGTTGTAAATTATAACAGCTTGAATGGCTTTGGGAAGCTAAAACCGGATGACCAGAAGTTAGTGCGGGAAAAGGTTGGAACAGGCGAAGGCAAAAGAAAGAAGCCGAAAAAGGAAAACGTGCAGGAAGCCCCAAAGAAGGAAGATAATGCTGAGCAAAAGCGGCTGAAGGCAATTGCTTGAAAATTTAATCATTTATTTGTAGCAAATCCGAATATATGAACTTATCAAGCTGCCAGCTTGATATCAAAATAGCAATATGTTTAGGAATGAAAGAATGAGGATGTACCTTCTTGTTTATCGACATATTGTTGTGATTAACTCGTATGGCATAGTCATTTTCAAGTCGGCAACTCTATATTAGAATTTGTTCCCTGCCGTTATACAATTAAGCCATTGTGATTCCTCACATTTTTCAGTTGCATCAATCTGAAGCCAACTAAGATTAAGGTGTGAAATGTGGGATGTATCCTCAACAACCGCAAATGCTGTGTTCTATGCAGGAGCAGAGTGAGAAGATATGGAAGATGATTGACAAGCTAAAGACGTTCCCGACGAAGCACCGCCGTGAGCTCCTAGAGTACAATAAGCAGGATCTGCCCTCCGGTGAGAGCAAGGTTCTGGATCGGCTCGCCGACTGCATGGTGTTTGGTGCGTTGAAGCGTTGCCCAGAGTGCGAGGATGGACAGCTGGTTGTGGCGTAAGTACACCTGTATGCCAGGGAAAAATTAACTTTTTTTTCACGGGAGCTCTTTTTCAAGTCTGTGGAAAAAATAGCTGTCGTCAAAAATTTTACGGGAGCTATTTTGAGCCTCACGGGAGCGATTTAGGAGGTTTGAAGAGCGAATCGCTCATCGCTCCCGTGTATTTTTTACCCTGCTGTATATGCCTGTATAGATGACCGATATGTCCGCAGTCTGAAGCAGTGGTCCAGCTTTATTCTTATGTGGTTCATCGGTCTAATGCACCATGTTTCACCTGTGCATTTCTGGCGAGTCAAAACTATTCCTTAAACCTATATTAAATAAGTGTATCTTGATCCGTTATCTTGTGTGATTGGTATGGCTGAATATAAAGAGTGTCATTTGTTCATACGCTTAACATAGCAGAGCACCATACACAGATGTACACTCCAAACCGGTGCTGTTTCGATTAGCGCTCCATCTTTTGGGATTGTATCCTGATAGTTAACCAAGAGCCGATTTTTCAGAAAGATCATAAGTAATTATGACATTATAAATTTAAAATAACTTTTGAAGGGAAGTGTCATGCAAAAGTCGTGACATTTTAGTCTTATGATGGTCATAAAGTTCTATTTATGATTTTTCTGACAACGGGCCCCAGGGTATTGCTTTACAGTCTGTAGTTTGATATGCATATGTCTTGGTTTGTTTTAGAGGAGATGGGTACCATTGTAGTGGCAATGTGTCTGGTTGGACAAAATGCATGTACACAACGAAAAAACCTAAGCGCAAAACATTCAAGATCCCTGAGGAGTTGGCTGAGATACCAGTTCTGTGAGTGAAACCGTTTTTCCATATCATCGCATTGTTAATGACCACACTCATGAATTCACTACCAGCAGTACTGTCTGCATCCTTCTCAGATCAAGTGTTTTCTTTGTATAGATGGTGTTATATTGCAAAAAGCAGTCATTCCTGGGCTTGGGGGTGATATTTGCTTGACAATATGCACATGAATTTATAGGGAGAAGTACAAGTGCGTGATAACTGAGCGTGTCTTCTCGAGTAACCCAGCAGTATCACACGGAAAACCACTAAAGAACATGAAGTTTGTTCTGGTAAGCATTTATAAATTCTAAATATTGACAAAGATTGGCTTGTTGTTTTTGAAAGCTTCCATTGTGTTCATTGAGAACTTTTCATTGTTTTGTTGACAGTTTCATGTGGTAAACTAACTTATCCTGAATAAAATTATGCATAGAGTAACTCGAGCTCATCTATCAGACTTTCACAAATACATTACAATGTATAATGGCAGAGGTTCTCTTGTGTGTTATTAACTAAGATTGGTAAGAATATGACAAAGACGAAGGACGTTTTGTCTAAGAGCATAGACTACCTGGGAGGCAAGGTTGTCACTCAGATCGATTCGTCTGTGACTGCTTGTATCAGTGCTAAAGGTAATTGTTAGTTGTACCAAAGCATTTGCATATATTTATACAATACATTGACAGTTCTGCGATTCCTCTTGCCAGCGTATACCTGAGTTAAACAATCGTCAGGAGTATTCAGCGTGTATGTAGCAACTACAGTCGGTGTAGTATTACCTTTAAGGTTAACAAACATGATACATTTGCTAATTCTTTTATGTATTTATGATTATTATGGCGTGATCCTTTGTGACAAGTTGATTTAACTCCCCCCGTAGCATCGCTATGTAATGAAGTGTGCAATAGAAGCAATTTCTGTTCATTGTCCCATTTATAACGTATAGCATCAATAGATTTAGTGGTAACACAATGTTCTTTAAATGAAAAATCGTACTTAACCAGTGGCATGTATTGTTTCTGGCTACCGTGTACCAATCAATCTCAAGCTTTGTTGAACAGTGCCAAAAGTATTTCACCCTGAAATTTTGCAGACGATGTTGATAAGATGATAAAGAAAGTTGCTGAGGCAAAGGAGGCGAACATCACTGTTGTGTCGGAGGACTTTGTTGATGACTGCAAGCTGAAAGGCGACCTTGTCAGTGCCATCAAGCAGTACAAGATTGCACCATGGGGTCCTGAGGTAACAGTCGCCTGAGTAATAGTGACACTGAGGAAATGCATTTGGCAGCTACAAGCATCTGGCCTTTATGTTTATGAGTGTATATGTAGCAGTATATTGTATTTTGTACTGCGTATTGAATTTTTAAAATTGATTGAAAATTTATGCACTTGTAGCCAGAGACTCTAGTGTCTAAGGAGCAAGCCAGTGCCGCAGAGGGGAAGTCTGGAGCTAAGGAAAAGAAAGCAGTACGGGACGGTAGGTCGTCATCCTCAGAACGGGAGGAGGGGGTCCCACAAGATGTAAGCTCTTCCCCTGAACAGGTCGACGGAAGTGATTCAGACTAAAGCCAATACTTGTAAAATGGGGAGAAAGTAACTCTTCACTTTGCTGCACATCTAATAAAGTTATTGCTGCAGTAGTTAGATATCTATATATCTATATATATATATATATAGAGATATCTCTATATATAACCCGTATATATTACTAGCTTAAGGTAGTTCTTGGCAATTTTCTTTCTAAAAAAATAGGTGTATGGGCGAATCGGCGAGGGATATATATCTAATTTGTGGTTGTTTAATATGTGATATTCCACTAAAAATGCCTTCTCACAGAATCTGTGGAATTGTTTTGATATAGTTCATTGTAAAAATACAACTAAACAACTAACTGCACTTTTCATGAATTTTAGCTTTGAAAATAAGTGTATAACAAATTTATGTTCCATCAAACTTGATTACTATATTGTTGTGGTAATGCTTCGGAAATGGGCATATAATAGATTTTGAGGAAGCTCGATCTACATCATGAATATTTAGGAACGTGCAATATAAAACCTTAAAATAATGTATTTTCACAATTTTTTTGAGAAGGCATTTTAAATATGGTGAACTCCTGAATGTGAAACAAAAACATTTGAATGGAAATTCTCATTTTTATAAACCATTATATTAGCATTTGACAAAAAGTGCATGATTTTTAAATTTTTTAATGGAATATTTTCCTTATTGGTTATGTGTGCATTATATATTTGGCGTATATATGTTTTATTATATGTTCTGTTAGTTGTTTTTACATGATATCTATATATTCAGGATTTTATCATTGCAATATGAGATTATTATAGGTTGGTGATTGACCATGTTAGTCATAAATAATTTAGAATTGCTCACTTGTACTTAGGAGTAGTACTCTTACTTTATAATAAAATCAGGAGTTTGGCAGGCCAGTAAACCATCTGTATACATTTACTATTTAGAAATCAATAAAATTTACATTAGTTTATATAGTTTGTTCATCGTATGGTGCTATTTTTTATAGTTTCTTGAGTTTAATTGCATCAGGAGATTGCATGTTCCATGCTATACATGTTTTAGATGAGTTATCATAGCTTTGCAATCTTGAAACCTATCTTGGTCCATAAAATTATGAAAATCTAGAACATACATTATCTGCAAATGTTATGTTTGTACTAAATTTGTGAGACAAGTGTTAAATAATTGATTACTAAGCATATATGGAAGTGTGAGATACAATATCTGGTGCACAAGCATGACACGCATGCACATACTTTTTACATGATTGCCAATAATTGTCATGGTGCTGCCCTCTGTGTATGGATATAAAGGATTTTCTAAACTCAAATCAATTATTTCGAAAATAGTTTCCAACCAGCTTCGTGTGTTCCCCAATTTTACGATACTTACCGTTATTGCTTGAGTAACATAAACTGTCTAAAGTAACGATATAATGTCTTGGAACCTTCGTACTTAGCTATATTCACCAAAACATGCACGATTTGAATTTCGATTATTCGTTTCGATTTCCGCCGCCATATATTGCGAATCTCGGACTATCTCGCGATAGCAGGAGATATCGGCCAATTCAAAAATAGAAGCGGAGTCAACTACACTGAATCAGATTCCCTTTTGTTCGAGTTTGGTGAACTTTATGTGCACTTGTTTTGAAGGCGCCATTTGTAAATTAATTGTCGCTATAATCAAATATGCCATAGTGTTACGGCGTGTTCAGTTCTAATTGTCGATGCTATAGCAGCATAAAGGCTTAAGTGTTTTTCAAGTTGGTGTAATCAGTAACATATCTGCTATTAGATAAGACTACATTTTGCTATATTTTTCTGCACTTTGCATTTTTTGGCAATTAATGCATTCGAAATCCTGGCTTTAATAGCTGATCTTTAAAACAATTAAGTATGCACATTATGAAAGGGCTTTAAAAGAGAGGCTCTATTTATCCATTTCTCTACATTTATAAATCTGGTTATCTATTTGTAACTAAATTGATGTTATTAAAATTCTGTATTAATTTTCCTTGCAGATCGTATATGGACTAAATCCATGCCAGAGACAATCAAGATGAAAATCAAAGGTGGGGCTGCAGTAGACCCGGATTCAGGTAGGTTCTACTGACGCTGCCAGGGTCTATGTCTACCTGGGTACTGCCGGAACGTACCCTGGTACTATCTAATATGCCGGACCGTACCTCGCCTACTCCACTAATGAGTCTAGGGAGTTGCCTACGTACGCCTACTCCCTAACCCTAACCCTAACCCTATAACCATATTAGATAGTACCAGGGTACGTTCCGGCAGTACCCAGGGAGACATGGACCCTATGAGCCTCACTGACCGTTAGATTAATCTTGTGCTTAGCTGTGGTTAGTGGTGAAAAAATACATGGATATGTGACAGTTAATTATACAGCTTGTCTATTACTTTTCTTGTGGTGTGTTATCCTTTTGAAAACAGGCATCACTCTCTTTGCATAGGGTGATATCTCTGAAGTGAGCCATATACATACATATATATATATATCAGTTCTGCCACTTTATACTTTTTTTAAAGTATACTTTTTTTAAAGAAAATGTACTTTTTATACTTTTTTCATGCATAAATACTTTTAAATACTTTTGTTTTGCCAAAGATGGTCAAAACTCTGTACTTACATTTAGGCACACTGTATTTAATGAGATTAAAGATGTGCTTTGCTAGTCTTGTTGCAGGAGTGATGTGTGCTCTGTTCAGTGGAGTGTTTTTGCTCTCAGCTCTCTGCTGTCAGTGACCAAATGTCAAATGAGCAATGCGTATTGCAGTGTTTCCCCTGCATTACGAGCGAGGCAGGCCGCCTCGCTCAAATTCTCATCCGCCACACAGAAATTTGTCCAAAACACCGCCTCGCTGGCGGAACTTTTGACAACTTGAAAAAGAGATTCAAGAGTCACATATACAATGTGTTCAGAATAGCTTAGAATGCATTTAAGAATGCTTAGAAAGTTAGAATCCCATTTTTTCAAACAATTTCCTGGGGGAGCATGCCCCCGTACCTCCTAGCTTGGCCAGCACCTGCGCTGCTCGCTTTGCTAGGACCTCAAAATGCTCAAACACATCACAAAAAACATTTACCACCTCACAGACCTCTTGGGCCAGGGGAAACACGTATGCATTGAAATATTCTAGACTGAGGGTTCAAGAGACAAAATCTCCTCATGGCATATATAGCACACATATCACTCCTGAAGCAATTGTTTACATGCTGCACATAGGCTACAATGTATTCGGTAACAAGGTATAAATTAATAAGTGACTACAAATCATGGTAGGTTGATACACATTTATACTTTTTTAATACTTTTTTTTATTAGACAATTTTGATACTTAATTTTTTCTTGGTACATTTTATACTTTTTTTGTAATATCCTGAGTGGCAGTACTGATATATATATATATATATATTTAGTAGGTACATAATGCAATACTCGATGCTGAACCCTTTAATTTCAGGTCTGAGCCATAAAGCACACGTGGTAGAACAGAAAGGGCGCCATTTGACGGCTGTGCTTGGTTTGGTAGATGTTGTGTCAGGAGCCAATTCCTACTACAAGCTGCAGGTTTTGGAGGAGGATAAGAGCCACAGGTTAAAAAATCCATTGGTCTTCTTGATTATTTACATTAGGAATTTAATAAGAATTTTTTGACATACCAGACATTCTGCAAAGTTCTATTAAACACGTGCAATAATAGAGCAAACTGTTGTTGTGTTGCCAACATGTACGTCATTATATGGTCTGTATAGATTCTATGTGTACCGGTCTTGGGGACGTGTTGGAACAACTATTGGTGGAGACAAGTTAGCTGCGATGCCAAAGCAGGAGGCTATTGCTAACTTCAAGGCTGTCTATGAAGAGAAGTCTGGCAACCAATGGGGACAGAAGACAGAGTTTGTGAAATATCCGAAAAAGTTCTACCCACTCGAGATGGACTATGGGCAGGTCTGTTTTGAATTTCCTCTGCCACTATCAGTCAGTTGACCGGTATCCAGTTGAGTGACTATAAAAAAGCTAAATGATAGAGTCCTTCACAATTTGTTCAGGCACTGCTGTCTTATCATATGTGCCCTCGCAATTTATTACACATAATTGAGCAATTACAAGAACACTTGGTAATACGTACTTCACGGTCAAATAACATTTAACTGCCAGCCAGTAATGTCCGTCTGCATATAATCCTATCTCCAAGGATTATACCTCAGTGTGTTTGCAGGATAAAGTGGAGATAGCAAAACTGAGTGCTAATTCAAGTTCAAAGCTTCCAAAGTCAGTACAGGATCTGATTCGTCTCATCTTTGATGTGGAAAAGCTCAAACAGGCTATGCTGGAGTTCGAAATCGACCTGAAGAAGATGCCACTTGGAAAGCTGTCAAAGAAACACATTCAAAGTGCTTACAAAGTTCTAACAGAGGCTCAGGAGGTAAGTGCTCTGATGTGGACATCAAGTAAGGCCTGGTAGAATGAAGGTGGTTGGAAGGGGCAAGATCACTTTACCATTAAATGTCCTGGAATGTTATAAAATGTCCCAAACCTGATGTGTTTCTAAAATATAATCTGCTCATTTATAGTATGAAATGTAGAATGTTCTCATATATTCCCCCTCACACTTATTCTGCTCGTCTACCCCCACCAGTGGCGGTGGCAGTGACAGTTAATTACACTCAGTGGCCGCCATGTCCAGTGCTATATAGCTGTATCAAAAAATGGCTTCGGCAAATGTGGCTTCCAAGGTCTTCCTAATGATCAACCACGTGCATATCCATGCTACGTGAATACACACACGACACACTACTTGATTGATATAGATATATTTGTTATATGACTGTTATTGATACTGCAAATTGTAATTGGTGCAGAGCATTTCATGTGGCATGAAACATCTATATATCAAAGTTGCCTGCTGAGCAGTGTTGCCACCTAGCATAAACAAGGTTTCTCAGATAGCTAATATGATTAAAGAAACTCAATCTGTGTGTGCACTTTCTTTACAATTCCTTGTTAAATGTCATAAAACCTGAGACTGTAGTACGAGATTCCCTGCCAGACCCCATAATAATGTTCCCGAGAGATGTCACTTGCTGTGATTTTTCTTACCTATTGTATATGGTGGAATGGGGGAAACAATTAGGGACGAGGGTTATTTAATGCCTAAAGTAATGCGCGAGTTCATGCTTATTCAATTATATATGTTCCAGTACGTACGCTAATAATAGTATTATTTACTTCTGATTTTAGGTACAAGATACAATTATCACCCGGTTATTCGAGCAACAATGTTTTGGGGACATGAAAATTTATGTCAACCATATGATCTCTGATCTTGAGCAACATTGACATTTTTAACACACAAAACTCCCTCCCCTCCTGTTTCCATTGCAACCATGCAATCATTGCATAACACACACACAAACACACCTACGCACGCACGTACGTATGCACGCACACGCATGCGCACACACACACAACACACATGCACGCACGCAATGCACGCGCGCACGCGCGCACGCGCGCACATATATTGTGTTCTATGATTTTCCTCTAGTTTTCATGGGAAAATACATTACATTGTTTTGCAGCTGAAAACTTCGGGTGGTTCACCGACACAGTTTCTAGATGCGTCTAACCGCTTCTTTACACTCATTCCACACGACTTTGGAATGCGAAAGCCACCTATACTAGACAGCGAAGTGCTGATCAAGGTGACTTAATTCTGTCTTTCTCTTTATATTTGTATTAAATTGTACTCAGATTTCATTAGAACACTACCTGTGTACAGTGGTTTTGAATCACAGTTGTTTTTTGCACGTGCATGATGAATTCAGGAGAAGTGTGAGATGCTGGATAACCTTCTGGAGATTGAGATTGCATACAGCATGCTGAGCACAGCCTCTGGCAAGGCAGACAAGGATCCGATTGACGCCTACTATGACAAGCTCAAGTGCAAAATGGAGGTTAGCAGACTTATTAGCTGTTACTGACTTTGGCAAACATTATGGTTGCAAATTGTTCGTACTATCTGGATTTATTATGTTATTGATGTTTTTGGTAGTTATGAACCTTCAGTGATATTCTTATTTTGATAGCCGATCATATTAAAATAATTCACAAGCATTTCAAGGCATATACCGTACGTGTTGGAGTTTTTGCATATTTTGATTGACGGCTTTACGTTTGTGCATCTGTTTAATTGATTGAAGGTTTTGGATAAGACGGCCAAGGAATTCAACACAGTGCGGGACTATGTGAAGAACACGCATGCAGCAACACACTCACAATACAACCTGGAGATTACTGATGTAGGTGTGCATTGTATGCTTATTGGCATACAGCGGGACTTTAATGTTCTTTCTCTCTCATAAACAGATTCCAATTCTCAAATATTGAGTCGTAACCCAAAGAAAAACCATGTTGATTGTAACGCTTAATTGATAAGATTGCCTTGGTAATTATGGTGCTGCACATGATTCATGATCTTTTGACTCTTTAAGAGTCTTTAGTCTCTGAAGAGTCTTTATAGTAAAACATTGTGAACTTTAAGCTGGCACTTTTAAACATCTTTCTTGTACATATTCACAAACACCAGTCTTTTCTAATATGAATAGGTGTCATTACGTATAGCAAATCCCTAATAGTATTGCCATAAACAATGCATACATCATGAAAGACGGAGCTTGTTATTGTCATCTTGCGGTCGTTATACTGCTCAGGTGTTCAAGACTAAGCGGGAAGGCGAGGCACAGCGCTACAAGCCATTCAAGCAGCTACACAATCGTCAGCTGCTATGGCATGGCTCTCGAGCAACTAACTACGCTGGTATCCTGTCCCAGGGGCTGAGGATTGCACCGCCAGAGGCTCCTGTGGTGAGCAAGCCCCTCTGTAGTTAAACATAGCACTCATGGTTATTAGTGCCGAGAGGATCTATGTCACCCAGGGTACTATCGGAGGGTACCCTGGGTACGGTTTGATACATCGGAACGTACCCTGGTACTATCTAATATGCCGGACCGTACCTCGCCTACTCCACTAACGAGTCTAGGGAGTCGCCTACGCCTTCTCCCTAACCGTAACCCTAACCCTGACCATATCAGATAGTTACCAGGGTACGTTCCGATATATCGAACCGTACCCAGGGTACCCTCCGATAGTACCCAGGGGGACATTGACCCTATGAGCGTTATTAGTGTGGAGTTTCACTTGCATGTTCTCTTTTTACTGCCCATGCTACATGCTGAAGGCACTGTAGCTAAAAGTGCCTTTAGAATATCAGTGTCAAGAGCCAAACTGCAAGAAATCGTGTAAGAACCTAGAATCCTTGCTATGTATCGCAAGATCACTTACAGTATGAAATGTTGTCTTGTCATACATGAAGATGTAAATTCCATAAATCAACCACAGTCTTGACTAATTAGTTGTTAGTGAACTTTTCAAATATGCATGGTTAAAAGTGTTAGCCTAAATGTTCGCTGTTGGCGACTTGCACCGATTGCTTTAACTTTTGTTTCCAGACTGGCTACATGTTTGGCAAAGGACTCTACTTTGCAGACATGGTCTCCAAAAGTGCAAACTACTGCTGCACATCTGCTACTAGTCACACTGGTTTGCTGCTCCTATGTGAAGTGGCACTAGGTAACATGTATGTATCTTGTAGTACATATTTTTAATGCTGCTTCCCCAACCTTAAACACCAGCAGAATGTTTGCTGCACTCATAATTTTTTAGCCTATCTGACATAGTCAGATGCAGCTTGTAGAATCGCATGAGCGTGCGTCCGTCCGTGCGTCCGGCCGTGCGTCAACAGTTGGGCACAAATCTTAACCACTCGACGTACGGTCACGATATTCGGGACGTTGGGGGGATCGTCAAAACGAGTTGTGATGTTGAAGCTGGGGATCAAAGGTCAAGAGGTGTAAAAGAAGGGGGAATATTCCCTCCTTAACTTAAGGTATAGGGAGGAAATGCAGAATTGCGGCACAAATCTAAACGGCTCGACTGCCGAAAAGCCGAGATGAAGAGCAGAGAGGAGAGACAGATAGAGGAGAGAGGACGAGAG